GCACCCCACAATACTAATAACCCATGCAATCAAATGCGCCAATGTTGAAAAAAAATTTAAAATCTTATTTGAAACAGTACAAAATGGTATCAGATATGCATAAATTATTGCTTCTTCTCGGATGAGCCACTGCCTCATTGGTACTTATCGTCACTTGCTCACGTGGAACGTATTCTGCATTGATATAAAGCCCTTTGTGTGTTCTACTACAAAAGTCATATTTTCTTAATGATCAAGCTTTCTAATAAATATCTTGAAAATACTCTAAAAAGATATAGTCGTATTGTGTTCGCGTTTCAAAAGACCATTACCGAAGCATGTGAGTTATTCATACAGCAGGTGTTTATGTAATAATGTTGTTAACATGTATTAATGTTGTTGACGTGATTGTACACAGTATTGTTTGCATCGAAATAGTTTGTGTCAAAGTATCATCACGTTTCCTGTGTATTGTATATGTTATTCATAGACCATCACATTTTAACGAGAAATTCAACACGAGCATAACATTATTTGTTATTCATTCACAGATTTAGGATGTGGCATGGAGATCGGTGTGACTTACCCGACTAATAATAAGAAAAAATATCATTAAACATGGGTTTTACAATAGAAAAGATACCCCAGAATTATATTGCGTTGACTGTACGGAAACAACCGGATGTACAGTTTGGACATGGATACCGCGTGATAAACGTTGCTATATTAAGAAAGGCAATCTAATAATAATAATAATAATAATAATAATAATAATAATAATAATAATAATAATAATAATGTTTATTTGCCATAGATTACATAAAAAATAACAATATAGCAATAAATAATAACTAATAAATATTGATAAATAATAATAATATTAATCTATGGCTGGGAAACAGAAATTAGCTCATGCAGAGCTAGTCTAGTCTATTTCCCATCAAAATATATCTGACACCGAAGATATCCAATGGAGCAGTGTCTGGAGGCCCATCACAAGATATTTCATTATTATTAATTAACGGTTGTCTCGGTATGTTTTTATGTCTACAACCTGTATGCATGGAATTATAATCTCGATAAATAAAAAGAATATTATTCTTTAACTGTTAGACCATCTCTGCTTCCCTCTAGAATGACGTTTTTGGTTTCTAATACACTTAGAAAGTGTTTGCCTCTATGTCACTGAGCTTCGTGTGCAGGTTTTTTTCCATGCAAAAACAGCAAATGTGGTTGAGTATTACAAAAACGCACTCTCTACACTCTTATCATTCATGTACTGCAAGTAAACACGTTTGAAAGAAGGCGAAAAAAAAATCCCCAAAAATTAACAAGTTTGTAACCCTTGGGCTGCAGGTTTTGTACGTCACAAACATCTCGCGTATCTTGTTTTAGAAAAATAAAAAA